GTCGGATGGGCGGGGCGCGGCCGACGGGCGCTTGCCGCCCTCTCTCGCCGCAGCGCGCACGGGGGCCGCAACAGATGGACAGGGAGGTTCCTCCTCCTCCTGCTCCTCCTCCTCCTCCTCCTCCTCCTCCTCCTCCTCCTCCTCCTCCTCCCCCGTAGCCATTTTGGCTCAAGATGTCCTGGTGCGCAGCGGCGTCCAAATGGATACCGCTGTGCCGCGGCCAGGAGTGGGGATTTCTTTGCAGCCACACCCAGGGCGAGCTGCCGCCAAAGCCTGGTCCGCGAGGACCCACAGTTTTGCGCCCGCGAGGGCTCTCCCCAGCAGTGCATGGCGGCCGATGAGGAGCGGCGCAGGGCGGGTCGTGCTGGCGGCGGCCATCGTGGCCCTGGTGCTGCTGACGGTCGGAGGCGCTGCGACAAGGGCAAGGAGCAGCCTCCAGCCGAGGACCTGCGTTCGGCCTCCCGCAGCACGAACGAGCGTGCCCCTGCGCGGCGTCGGGCTCGGCGGGGCCACCCGCGCTCCGACGGCGAGGCGGATGCCTCGGGCTCGCCGGCCAGTGATCGTGTGCGCCCTGGGCTTGGAGGACTCGATCGCGCCGCCCAGGATGAGATCGCGGCTGCTATCGAGGCGGCGGCCACCTTCTCCTCGCAGGAGCGCCAGGCCATGCAAGTGGATCAAGCGCCCGCTGGTACCCAGCAAGCTGGACCTCAACATGATCCTCGGCAACGCCCTGGCGGGGACCCTTGGCATGATCGCGCTGTCCCCGCTGCTGGACACAATGAACCACCTGCTGCTGGCACTCCTATCGGTGGGATGGCCACTCCTGTGGACGCTGGCGGCATCGACATGCAGGCCATGCTGCAGAGCTGCATTCGCCAGGCCACCGATGCCATCGCCGCGACCTCCATGGCCCAGGTCACCTCCTGCCAGACGCAGCTGGTGCGCATGTTCCAGACCCAGCAGGAGGCTGTCAACAGGTCCCTCGCCGTGCAGACGCGCGACATCGCATCCATCGGTCAGCGAGCCGACGCGTTGGAGGCGGAGCAGGCCGCCATGCGCAAGCAGATCGGTGACATCAACAAGGCCCTGGCCCTCGCCGAGAAGGAGCTGCCCATCATGGACTTTCAGGAGCTGGAGGCGTGGTCTCGTCAACCCAACCCGCGGATCTTCTCGATTGGGGCGCCGCAGTTGGTTGGACCCGCCCAAGCTCTTCAAGGATTGGAGGAGTGGATTCGCGCGGCTGGCCTCACCAACGACATGGTCCGCATCGACCCTGCGGTCCCCTCCAAGCGCTTCAACGTCTTGGTACAGGGCGGCGACGGTGTCGCTCTCCCTCGGGCCCAAGCACTTGCACGGCATCTACGTGACCCAGCTGGCAGGAACGGGTGGCGCTCCTTCAGCGCGCAGAGCGTCGGCGGAGGCGTCGTCCCGCTGTACCTCTCGCCTGACAAGTCACCGCAGCAAGTACGGATGGAGATCCAGTCGAGGAAGCTCTCGGCTTTGCTGGCAGAAGCTCTTCCTGATCAGTCTTTCAGTGCTCAGCGGGCCCGTGGCATCGTCACCTCTCAGGGCGTCAAGGTTGCCAAGCTCGAGATGGGAGAATCCCGCTACACCGACACTATCATCAGGTGGAACCCAGACATGGTCGCCAGGCTGCACATCGACAGGGAGTCCATCAACGCGCTGTTCAAGAAGGCCTTCTCCACGGAGGACAACACCGAGTGGATTTAGCAGCCCACTGTGGGCGCCATGGCGTCCTCCTGGCGCACGGCATGGCTTCCGTGGACTTCACCTGGTCGTGTGGAATGCCCGTGGCCTGCTCCACTCGGACGCGAGGCTGCGCAGACGCAAGTTGGCACTGCTCGCCACATACATGAAGGTCAGCGCCATCATCGCCGTGCAGGAGGTCCACGGCTCCGAGGGCGCCCTCAGGATTTTTCTCCAGTCGCAGCCGCAGAAGTACTTGAGCTTCCTTTCGCCTGGCTCTTCCGCTGCCGCGGGCGGAGTCGCCTTCCTCGTCCCTCGATACGTCGACGAAAGTCCAAGGGCGGATGGACCCAGGGCCGAATCTCTGGGAGGCGGGGGCGAGGCGAGGCGTGTAAGACCTCCTGAGTGTTCCTCGCCCCCTTCTGCATTCTTACCGACTCAAGACACCTGGTCAAGTACGCGAACCTCCTCTTCACCTACGACAGCAAGTTGCTCCGACACCTGGTCAAGTACACGACGTTCTCCCTCGACATCCACGTCACTACCGAACTACACCTGGTCAAGTTCACGAAACTCCCCACCTGCTCTGCCGGCCTACCGCTTCGACATAGTGGCGGCCGGCCGCGCGGCGCTCCTCACGATCACCGACTGCACGGGCAAGTACAGCATGCAGATCTTCAACATTCACAACTACGACCTCAAGCCGCACGAGTTCACTGCAGTACAGCGCACTTGGTCCAGTGGCCTGGCGTGGGCGCGCCGCGACTCGTTACACCGCATCTTCCTGGGCGTCGGTGACTTCAACATAGCTGCCCGCCCGCCAGTCAGTCAACGAGCACCCTCAGACACCACTGCTTGGCGCCTCCGACCTGATCACCGTTGCCAACTTCGGCAACCTGCGTGGCGCCGCCTACTCGCTGCAGCTATGGTGGTTGAGTCTCTGTGGCCGACCCACTACGACAAGTCCTGCAAGCAGCTGTCCACGATCGACCGCATCTTCTTGGGCGTCGACGCGCACGCCATGCTCTCGGTCTCGACGATCCTTACCACTGCGAGGGACGCGATGGAGCTTTCCGAGGAGGGCATCAGCGACCACGCGCCCCTCGTCCTGCAGATCACTGCCGCACGCCATGTCCCACGAGACGAGCAGCCAATCCCGACGCACCTCTTCAACCACAAGAAGTACCCTGAGACCTACGCGCTCATGCTGGACCACTGCGCCCTGGCTGGGGAAACGGCGGAAGGCCGCTGGAGAGCAGCGAAGCAGTGCATGAAGCTTGCAGCGCGACGCGTTCGTGATGAACAGCTGCGGACCAACTTCTCCCTACGCGTCAAGGACTCCACGGTCGAGACCTCGTACATGGGTTTCAAGTCGGCGGCGCGAGCAGTCTGGCGACAGGACGCTGTCCTGGCAGGTAGGCTTCTCGACTCCTGCCCTGCGCTGGCCGCCCACCTCCACATTACCGACGGCACCGTGCGCCTCGTGGACCCCCACAGCTTCGCCACCAACTTCGACGCCATCGCCGAGCGGGTGCACTCCCTGCGCAGGCAGGCGGCGGAGGCAGCAGCTCGGACGGCCAACGTGCGCGACAGCGCAGCCTGGCGGAGGGTTGAACGCAAGGCCGCCAGGCATGCGCAGCTCTGGGTCCCGTGGCGGCGACGCATGATCCTTTCGGGCTTGCGCGTGGATTCCGCACCGTGTGCCGCCAAGGACTCGCAGGTGGCCCAGCACGTGGTCTCCGACCCCGCGGGCATGAAGGCGACTGTGGCGAACTACTGGGGTGAGATCTTCGCGAAGGTGCCGAATTCTGAACAGCTCAAGGCATTGGGCGCCTTCCTGGACAAGCACGCACCAAGGAACCCTGCGGTGGAACTACCTCAACCAGCTCTACATGACTTGGAACGCGCGGCCAGTAGGGCCCCGCCGAGCGCTGCGGGACCAGATCAGCTGACATATGCAGCATGGCGCCGCAGCCCTGGAGCCTTGCAGCATCTCCAGGGACTCATGGAAGTCCTCTTCAACGACGGCGTGGCCCCGCTCGACCTCAACTGGTCGATCTTCATCTGCGTGCCGAAGGGCACGGAGGAGGACGACGCCCCCGACTCTTGCACGCGCACGGCCTCCACGGTGCGCACCCTCTCTCTGAAGAATTGCGACGCCAAGCTGATTGCGGCCTGCGCAGATCGCGGGCTCCAGCCCATCGCCACATCATCCACCTCACCCGAGCAGAAGGGCTTCACTGCTGGGCGGCGCTTCGTCGACCACATCCCGTACTTGGACGCGGAATGCCGTAGGGAGGGCCTTCTTCCTGACGCGGCGACCCGCCGCCCCATGTTCCTGTCGTCCGACTTCCGTCAGGCCTTCCCCTCACTCTTCAGGGAAGTCATCGAGAAGGTCCTCCCGCGCTTCGGGGTCCCGCTGGGCTTCCGCAACGTGGTCGCGGCGCTCTACAGCAACTGCCTCGCCTTTAGCTCCTTCCGCGCCGAGGGCACCAGCGCGGAGCTCGAGCCGCTGTTCGCGCTCCTGTGCGGCATCATGCAAGGATGCCCGCTCTCTGGCACGGTCTGGTGCTTGGCAATGGATGCGCCCATCCGCGCGCTGCTGGCTGCGATTGCAGAGCATGGGTTCCTCACGGCTTGCGCCGACGATCTCGGGATGCTGATCAAGAACGCTGTTGCCCTCCCTAGCATCGACTACACCTTCGTCTCCATAGAGTTTGCCTTCAACCTACAGCTGGCGCTGCACACGTGCGTGCTGGTTCCGCTGTGGGAGGAGCTCTCGGAGGACACACTGCTGAACGTTAAGTCTTTCCTCGCTAAGGAGGTCCCCCGCTGGCTGGGCTTCCGCGTCGACTCCACGGCCAAGTACCTGGGGACTTACCTGGGACCAGGCGTCACGGACTTCGGCATCTGGAAGGCGGCTGCGGGGAAATGGTGGACCCGCTGCTGGGAGCTGGCGCGCACTGGCATGGCCACCAGCCTCGCGGCCCGCGCGTGCAACATCAACGCGCTTCCGTGCTTGTCGTACCTTGCGCAGTTCTACTTCATTGTCCCTGCCATCTGGAAGGTCGAGTTCACCTCCCTGCACCGCCTGCTGCGGCTGCCGCCCTCGTCCATGCGCAAGGCTGACATCCTGTCGATGAGCGCGTGGTGCGGTTCCCCGTCGCCGATTGGCCTCTTCCCATACACGCTCGCGGCGATGATGCGCTCGGCGGAGAACACGGTTCGCGGATGGGAAGCCCACTTTCACCATCTTCATGAAGCTGCCGTGGAGCACGTCCCACTGATTGACG